CATGACACTCCTAGGCAGAAAGTCAAGAAATTTAGTATCCAATATAGGTTCCTTTGTTATATCAGTGAAGTTGGGGTGAACACTAATCATTTTAGATATAACTTCTCTGTACTAGATGAAGCACCCTTATTTTTAGGAACGTACATAAGCTTAGAATTCTTGTTTGTAGACGCCCTCTCATTAGATTTAATAGAAGAAAAACCTGAACCTAAATTATTAATGATCTTTTCCAGTTTCACAATTCTAGAGGGACTTTGTTCTACTCGGACGGTGATGGTTTCTCTATCCTTTAACAATTTTAATGTGGTTCCCACCTATGAGCCAAATTTAGTTACTTGGTTATGCACCTTTTTATCCAGATTTTCAATGTGTTCGATAGTTGGCATTTTGTTCTCAATGATTTCTAACCTTCGCATAACATGTTCAGAGTTAATGCCATTTCATTGATAGTAATAAGTGGTGATCCCACTAAATTTCCCATAGCATTAAAAGCATCCAAAGGGTGACTACTCAAGAAAGTTCCTCCGGTAATAGTGTCGAGCCCAAATCTATACCAAGTAGTAACACCCACATAAAAAATCCGGAGAAGAACAGTAGTGGGTTGCTTACGAGTAGATCTATTTTGAGCATAACAAATCTTATACCAAGCATCTTTTAAACTTTCTCCACCCCTTTGTTTAAAATTAAGCACTTCATTTTGAAGGGTAGAAGCAACGAGCGAAAAACTAGCCATAGTAATGAGCAAAGAAAACACATAAGATATTTTTGGTATTTTTAATTTTTGAGAGAAATGGAGGGAGATGAAAAAGAGAAGGCAAATGGCAAAAGAAAGTAAAACAAGCAAATGATAAATGTGTGAGGAGGAAACTTGTATTTGTTTGGTAAAGTATCCCCGGGAACGGTGCAAAAAATTCTTCTGGTACTTGTGATAGGCGTTGGGATTTCTCCGAAGAGGAAGGGTGATGTAGATAGTATTTCCCTTAATTAAAAACCAAGGTTTATCGAACCAGTAGGAGACACCACGCAAACACGATAAGCGGTACCTACACACACAAAGCAAATACTTGCACACAACACGGGCAAGAGGGTTGTTAATCCCCTTATACTCGTTAATTGCAAGGATTAAATCTAATAATGGTATATATATAAAATAAAAGTAAATAAATTACAACAAGTATTTTTAGGGTTTTAGTAAATATAAAGTGAATGGACCTGGGGGCCATAGCATTCTCTAGAGGCATCTCTCTCATCAATATAGCAACTGTGGGTAAACAAATTACTGTTGGACAATTGATAGAATAGCACGTAGGTATGATGATGCTCATGGCATGATCAATATATAGGCATTACGTCCAAGACAAGCAGACCGCCATCCATCTGTATCTACTAATATTACTCCACGCCTCGACCGCTATCTAGGATACATCTCAAGGTACTAAGTTCATTACAAACAGAGTAATGTTTGGACCAAGACGACATAATATAGACAAAGTAAGACCAAGTAATATGTTCGAACCCCGTTGTTTTACCCTTAATAGAAAAAAATACAATATGTGTCTTGCAGCTCCTCCAGTCACAGAGTAAGGACACCGTAAGATTGAACCTTATACCAATCACTCCTCCACCGAAGATAAATCAATCTAATTGGCCAAAAAAATAGATAGATCTGACAGAAGTACAAGGCTATGAAATCAAACATAAATAAATCATAGAAAATACTCAAATACTTTAACCGAATAGTCTAATCATAAACCCACATTTCAGCGGATCCTAACAAACACACTGTAAAAGTTTACATCGGATTGATTTTAGATGAGATCATTGTATTGAAGAGAGAGAGAGAGAGAGAGAGAGAGAGAGAGAGAGAGAGAGAGAGAGAGATAGTCATCTAGCTACTGCTCTAGGCCCGTAGGACATGTGGGAAGTACTCAGCTGACATCATCATGGAGGCAGGAAGGTTTATGAAGATGGCCTCCATGATGGATTCCCCCTCCGGCGTAGTACCGGAAATGGCCTCCGGATGGGTTTGTGGAAGAACATAGCCTTGCAGCGGCGGAAGAATATTTTTTGTTTCCTCCTTTGGTGGTTTTTGGATATATGAGAATTTATAGCACTGGAATTAGGTCAAATAGAGCAACGAGTGGGCCACAAGGCACCAGGGCGTGCCCCCTGCCTTGTGGCTCCCTCGTACATCTTCTGGCCTCCTCATGAAGCTTACAGGGACTCTTTTTGTCCAGAAAAAATTATCCAAAAGTTTCATCGTGTTTGGACTTTGTTTGATATGAATTTTTTGTAAAACCGAAAACAAGCAGAAAACATGAACTGGCACTGGGCATTGAGTTACTAGATTAGTTTCCAAAACTTATATAAAATGGCATATAGAACATACAAGATTGATAATATAATAGTATAAAACAATCAGAAAATATAGATACATCGGAGACGTATCATGGCCTATGTATAGGCTGTCATAGGTTGAACTTCCGGAGAAGGCAAGGCCGGGACCTGTGTCCCAACTAGCCAAACACACAAACAAAGGACGCTAGTAAGACGGCGACAGTCCGTTACCACTTTTTAAAAGTGATTTGAGTTGTACAAGCATTATTGGCCAAACAGGTCACATTTTGTGAATATTGGTTTACTTTATTGTATATATATTCATTAAGAGCGCACTGTGAAATCATTTTAGAGGATACTGTAAAACATCTTTACAACGTTTTTACAGGATGACGTGTGCATCAGTAGAACAAATCTTGTATAAATCGTTTTAGGTCCCTGCAAAATAGCATAAAGCCCCCTACACACGAAACAAAATATTACAATTGGGTCCTTCACAGATGTGCGGGCTTGGGCGGAGATGCCACAGTGCAAAAAGGAGTGTGCGTCTTGCCGATGGCGGCACCGCCATGGAGCAGGATGGGGAGCACGGGGCCGGCGCGAGGAGCGGGCAGCAACAGGAGGTAGCTAGCTAGCTAGCTCGCAGCAACGGCGACAGCAGCTAGCTAGCTATCTCGTGGCGCAGCAGCAACAACAGCTATCTAACGGCGGAGGTGGGGCCTAGCTAGCTAGCTCGCGGCTTGACCAGCGGCAGCAACTAGGGTCCGTGGTGGCCGGCATCGAGGTGTTCCGACGAGGTCGCGCTGGGGAAAGAAAAGTTTCCTCCCGTCAATTGTTTCTTATGTTTTTAGGTTCATATAAAAATTGCCTCCAATACTAGAGATATCGCAAAAGTGGTTCAGAATATGCAGGATCCCGCTTAAGAAATTATTGGACGGCCGATTTTACGGGATCTATTCGCAGCAAAAAAATCACCCTCTTCCGTTAAATTGGTAGCTATTATTACGGAATCCGCTAGAGATGCTCTAAAGCATGTGTTAAGCATACGGCTATTGTTTTCCTATAATAAAAGAACGAAAGGGCATATCCCTATCTTCATCGATTGGTAACGGGATATGGGACAGCTGTGGCTCAGGCGAGGTGATAACTTTGATTGGTGATTCCTACTTGAACTTTGAAGATAAGTTTCCAGGTTGTTAGTATCCACGGCTTGTTATCCTCGAGCCGTTACAATATATACGGGATCGAATTGTTACGATCTAGCTCCGCCGGCATTCCGTGAATAAATACGGGACACGCAACGCCCATCTGACCTCCTCAGCAACAGCAAGGCACCGCCACCACCGTCACTTAGAGAGCACCTGCGAAGCAGAGCCATCTCGTTCCGTCTCTTCAGGATGAAGCTGTCGGCGCTTCTCTCCGTCGTGTGCTGCGCCGTCGGGCTCTTCTCTCAGTGGTGCGTCTCGTATAGCTAGATTCTCTGCATCAGTTATTTTGTTACCGTAGACTGTTCTCGTCATCACTTCGACCATCACCATTCATCGTTTTGCATGTGCGATTGTTTCTCATTACTTCGATCTAATTTGCATGCACGAACTATAGCTGCGCATGTGGAGTCTGCTCGGCACACCTTACACGCCCCGGAAACCATGTTCGTCTTCGGGGATTCATTCGTCGATAATGGCAACCTTCCGCGATCAGACCTCGCAGCTGAGTCGCGCCAATGGTACTATCCCTATGGCATCTCATACCACAAGGACGATGGATCGGGTCGGCGACAAAATGCAACCGGCCGCTTCTCCGACTTCATGGTCCAATCAGATTTCGTTGGTACGCACCTACTCCTTTCGTTCCTAAATATAAGTCTTTAGAGATTCGAATATTTAGAAACGAAGGGAGTATATCTAATCTCGATCGCATATCTATTTTATTCTTGAAAAGTGATGGCATATCACTACCAGATGCGCACGTAGGTCAAAGTTTTAGTTTTTACATTGAGAGAAGTGCATATTTCAACCCTAAACTTTTGCCCTAGTCTATTTTACAATCCCGAACTCCAATACCGTTTAAATTACAACCCCCAACTCTCAAAACCAGCTAGGATTCAACCCTCTCCTCTCTGTTGACCGGTTTTTCCCTAGCTTTTTTCGTGAACAAGTTTTTCAGAATTTTGCTCTTTTATTTTTTTCCTGATCTTACAGTTTTTATTTACTTTTTCTTGAAATTTTGAAGAAAAAAATGAGGTGGCATGTTGATTGGACTCGTTAACTAGTCAAAAAACTAGTCACCCCAGGTCAAAACCGGTCAACAAGGAGGGGAGAGTTGAATCCTGACCGATTTTGAGACTTGGGGGTTGTAATTTAGATGGTATTGAAGTTCGGGGTTGGAAATTAGATTAGGTCAAGAGTTCGGGGTTGAAATATGCACTTATCTCTTTTTACATTCGTGATTCGTCGATCCCAATTTAATCTAGC